CAAGAGGTCAGGTGCCTGTATCATTACGCAGGTTAAACGTATCGTCTCACAGCCGGGATAGATCTGTTTGAAAAAATGGAGCGCCAAAAATTGAATTTCGTTTGGTTGAGTCGGTAAACGAATGAACTTCAAATGATTAATCTGTTCTCGCAAATAAATTTGCACTTTTGCTTGGGACTCAGAATAGTGGACAATATCTTTCCTGGTCAGTCTGTGACATTTGATTCTAAAATGTGTCATCGCACCCGCACTGATACGAGTTGCGAGGACTAGAAGACTGTGTTTGTTTTTTAACTGGAAAGCAAAAAACACAAGTCGAAACGTATATGCCCAGTGATTCCCGCTTCTTGTTTGATTTATTCAGAATCACCAATTTGTGAAAAATTATATTTCCATCCAATTGGTTCTTTGTAGTTAAAAACTTTGCTCAGCAGTATCAAACCAAGTTCATAACCCACCCCCCCATCCCCAAATGTCCTGACCGTAAAAATGCAATCGGTAAATCAGCGTGAAACGATCTATGATTCCTTTCACTGGATCCGATCGATTGTTTATCATAAGTTGACCCGCTCGGACCATCGAAATTGATCATGTGTGAAACAAACTGCTCTATGTTTCTTTTTTCTGCCGTATCACAGTTATGGATCAAATGACACGCGTGATCTCTGATGCCAATTACTGATTTCAATTCTCTCACTTTCTGTCTATCTAATCGATCGGTTCTCACGTGCTACCTGCAAATTTCCTCTGGTTCTGTTGCCAACTTGACTGCTGCAATTCACCCGTCCCGCATGCTTATCGTCATCATTCCAAAGTGTTTGATCTATCTATCCGTCAGGAGAGATCTGGTGCTCGCGCGAGACTGTCTTATCTAGCTTGAGTGTCACGTATGGTTGCACGCATCAAATAGCATGTACAAATTGTTTTCACCGAAAGACATCGAGGAAATCAGATGTGGAGAATCTGTATCATCACTTGTGCTCTATGGGACTGAATTGCCGTGGAAAACGAATTCGCTTTGGATCGTCTGAGGTGAATGAAGGTCATCGGATTGGATCGCGGAACTATAGATCGAGGCAAATCTGATTTAACTGTATGTGACAGTTTAACTCGAACCGAAGATATAGCATGCAAAATAGCAAATAATAAAGAACCCTGTGAATTCCAAAGCAGAGACCCGCAGAAAATAGTAAGCGTTCCTCTGAGTCAGAACAAAAGTCGATTGTTAACGGTGAGTTGTCCTTTGAGAAGACTGATGCAAGTCTATCCCAAAATTGATTTCATACGAAAACCATCACGTTATGTCCAGGACGACTTCACGGCTTCGCAAAATGGAGTCACTGCTAAAGCCCCATATAAACATTGCCATTTTTCTGCATTTTACGTCTTGCTCAAATTCAATGAACATGTCTCAGGCACAAATCGTGCGAAATTGCGACATGGTCTTTTCATGTTAGATTCGTGCTCAGTCTATGGGACCGCATGAAACTTTGAATTTGAATTTACACTACTTGTGAGTAGTACATAGTTACCAATCATAAGACCGGATCTCGTGGTTCATATTGGTAACGCTTTGGTTGAACACACTTATTTTGTGCAATGCAAATCTCATTTGCAGCTCGGGGAGTGGATCTGAGACAAAAAAATCTCCAAGACTCAGTGCGATGAGTCTGGGAAATTTTATCTAGTTATTCATACATTACTCACTCAAAGTGTATAATTCAGTGGCCATTCGTTTCAATAAATTTCTGTGTAACCTCAAGTTAGAAATTCATAAAACCTAACAAATGGTATGAAGGTGAAGGGACTAGGATCTGCAATACGGTTGGACAAAGTGGACTAGTTTTTACAAAATTAAACAATCATGTCCTTCCGGCCTATGTGTACGTTTATCGCGTATCGGTTGCAAGTTTACACCATTACAAGCCAGTCACCGTAGATGAACTTGCACAGGATAGCATTACATCTTCGGTCTCACAAGTTATAAAATCGAACCAAGAATAATCCTGTTTGACAGAGTACCAGCTCCATAAATTTTGGAGGTGATAGCCCGTGGTTTGATCATTTGTGTATCGGTAACTGATGAACACCCCTTGGGATTCATCCGGATAAAGCCTTGAACCAAAGTATCACACCTTCGAAAAAAAAGATTTTATTTTTACTTACTCGTACAACAGGTACCGTAACGGGCTGTGGAGAAATAAATAAGGGCAAAAGTTTCGCACCAAGTTCTACCCAATCAAACAGATTCGTTCTCAAATCTTCCACCAGGGCTTTCTCTCCGTCAGATGCAACCATCGGTGAGGGATACGCGAGTTTAATCGGCAACTCTGGTTGTAGCTGCGTTGCAGCGTGAATAGTGCAATCAGAATCAAGGCATTGATAAATTTTAGTGGGTGTAGCTTTGGATTTCGGTCGGTCTTTGGTCCCTCTTGGGTGGTGCAGGGGCTGGGAACAAAGACAGGCGGATAGGGCACTAACTAGGTATGGTAAAAACGATTTGTGGAGCAGTCATGAGACAGACGCTTTCGTTCACACACACGTAAAGTGAACTAAACCACTCATTAAGGAAAGTCAAACACGAGGCTATTCGTGTGGGTGTTTGTGTCACGTATCAATTTGTTTACTGCTCGCCGACACGAATGCGGCAAGCCATAATGATCATCAAACTCACATGTTTGATGTTGTGAGGTACTACTCACACTTGTGAGAAGTTTGCGTGCACCAATAAGCTGTCTTTGAATTCCCTTGACATCTGTCAGTGGATTAAAGGATTTGCTATTGCAAATACAGAAGAGGCAAATAGACTGACAGGCTGGTGATCATCGTTGAACAGACAATCACATAAATACCAGCCAATTGATGTAAATTAGATGTTTCATTCTATGTAGTCTTATTTACCAGTGCTGTTCTCCAGATGAATTACTCTCCTCATCCTGGTGCTATTTTGTAGAATTATAACAATAGAGCCGTGTAAAGTATCGGGGAAAGGGTTGGAGTAGTGATGCTAATTGTAGGAAGACCGCACAGTTTCTTGGTCTCATGGTTCATGACTTAGTTATCAGTCAATCGATCTAGGATTCACAATTTGGATTGGGGGGGATGAAGGACGGAAACAGAACAGTCTGTTTATGCCAATATTACCATCAAGTGCCACGGTGAATGTGGACGTAATGCGGAAGAATTTGATCGAAGGTCCAACGTCATTGCCGATATCCGCAAATTACGCTGGAATGAAGGATGTCAGTGTGGGCAATGCTCCGCTTAAAAGGGTCTGATAAAACACATTCAACAACATATTCCGTTTTCTCTCTCGCGCGCGCCGTATTTGTGGTGGAAACCACCGGACGGATCAATACCAACATCTGATTCGCTGAGTTGCGTGCGTGCGTGCGTGCGTGTGTGCGTACACGCCTGTGCTGGCAGGCAGCATCGGCCAATCAATCAACCATGCTCAGCTCGGTAAACGTTTCAGTTGACTGCAATTGACAGCAAACTGGCAGCAGGAGTTTACGAGTATCATGGTTGACATTTCGATTTCGTTGATAGACTGCTGTAATCACTGATCTGAGATATGCTGTGTCAAAAATACAATGTATGTGTGCATTCTCCTTATGATCCCAAATGGTATAGCTGTATGTGACAGTGTCACCCGCCAGAGCCAGAA